GGAGTACCACCAGTTTTCTGCAGAGGGTGTGGCAGAGGGATCATTCTCTTCTTGTGATTTTGGGCACATATGCACACACACCCAGCATGATTTTCAAGCCACCAGGTCCTGGACTCGAACCCTGGTCAGTCATGTGGGAGTCCAGTACCTTAACCACTACACCATCTGCTGTCCTCCCCACCCCTAGATTGAATTTTTATGTACCATATGCCACGTGTCTGATGTATGAAGGATACTGAAAAGGTTAGGAATTCAAATCCCTCAGGAAATGTTTCAGAAAGAACCCTGAAACACGCACATACTCAGCAAACCGCGAATTTAACTGCAGCTCTAACATGATCAAACAGATGTGCAGCGGCATCTATAATGCAAGAGCTACTTTTAAGTCCACCCTAGATTCCATGAATTTATCATAGAATATAAGGGAAACGGCATTTGCAAAATTATTTTCTAGCCTGTCTACAGTAAGCTAGAGTCCTGGCAGGGGTGATGCTCTGAACAAACCAGGTGACTTATGAAAGGTTTAAAGAATAAGACATCTGAGTCAGCAGGGGGCATGGTGGTCAGGGCACTGGACTCCCACATGGTCAACTATGGTTTGCTAGTTTCTGAACTGTGGTTCCGATCTGGCGGCTTGCTTTCTCACTTCCTCTGTCTCTCTTTAGTGACTATTAGCAAATTAAAAATAATAAATCAAAATGAAATACATAATTCTTTAAAGAAGCAAAAAGACCAAGATATGGAATCAACCAATGTCCATCAACAAATGAAGGAAATATAATATATACCCACAGAATGGAATACGATTTGGGTATTTAAAAGAATTGAATCCAGGGCCAGTAGGTGGCATGGAGGTTAAGGCACTGGGTCTCACATGACAGGCTGCACAGTTTGAGTCCTGGACCCAGTGGCTTGAAAATCACACCAGGAATGTGTGCATGCCCAAAATTCTGAGAGAAGACTGGAGGAGAAGGGACTGTAGCATGGCCATCCTTCGCAGGGGGTGATTTCTCATTTTCCTTCTCTCTCTGTCTCTCTTACTCTCTCTCTCTGGTGGGTGCATGTGCCCCATAACAAGAAAAAAAAAAAAGAAAAGAAATCCTGATATTTGAGGGGACATTGGCAAGCCTAGAAGACATTACATAAAATGAAATAACCCAGGCACTGAAAGAGAACATGCACTCTCATTCACATGTAAACATGGAAAAAAATGACTCACAGAAATAGATGAACACTGACTACTAGAGGCTGGGAGGATGAGAGGAAGGAAGCGACAGAGAGATGTTGGTTGACAGAAACAACATTACAGATAGATCTGAGAAAGAGTTTCTAGTGTTATAAAGTACACAGTAGGGTGAATGCAGTGAACAATAATTTACTTAATATGTCAGAGTAGCTAAAAAAGAATTTCAAGTGTTCCTAATGCAAAGTAATTATAGATAGATATACTTATTATAGTAATTTAGTCATTATACATTTTATTGAATAGTCACAATATATTCCATACATATGTAAATATACAATTTCTTTCAAAAATTTAAAAAGAAGGGCCTTTCCCAAAAGTCTTGGGAGAATACAGGGAAATCTAATACCAGAGTACTGCTAATAGTTTATTCAGAAGTTAAAAGGTCCAGTGGAGGAAATGGAAAGAAAATGAGAGCAAAAGAGTGAGAATGAGAGAGAAAAAGAGAGAGAGGAGATGTTGCCTTCATTCCAAGAGGCAGCACCTTCCTCAGGTCAAGGATGTATTAATAGTTAAGCTGCAACAGTGCCTCAAGGGAGAGCTTCAGTTCCTTCCTCCTCCTTTCTGATCCTTCTCCTGCTCTTCCTTGGTTAAATCAAAAGAAACACCAGATGGCTAAAGAGGACCTATCAATGAAGTCTGTGTAGGTCAACCACCTTAGGAGACGACAGATGAAGACTACAGCGTAGGGAAGGGTTGTGAAGGATAGGAAGTGGATCTGGTGTGGCAAAGGGAAGATATGCAACACAGTGGATTTCTCTAGCAAGTTCAGGGCTCATCAGTTGGAATTTAGGGCAAAGAACACAGAAAAATTTCATTGGATTCTCCTTCTGTAGTAAGTCAAACTAACAGAGATGGGATTGGGTGTCAGACAAGGTGAACTCAAACCAAAGCTCTTATCCAGCATCAAGCTTGCCTAATAATGTCAAAGATCCAGGCAGCCGAGGGGGTCAGACAAAGCAGACAGAGGCCGGGAACGTTGAGGCCAGCTATGCTGGTCCTGTCTTTCCACATCGAATAAGGCCCAGAGTAGTAGTTGAGGGTTTCAAGGGAGGACCATGGGCTTCCTCATATAGCAGTAAAATTTAAATTATGAAAGATTTCTTTTTTATATCCAGGGGATGGCAAAGTCTACCTGCCATTTTCCAGGGAGACCTGCCTCTTGGATCTTGGTTTCATTTATTAGAAAGTCTACCTTAACCAGGGATCAACATGCCAGGGACATTCAGTGGGCAAGTATCTTCCTCCCAACAAGCATAAGTCTATTTTACCCAGATGATCAGTTAAGAAGCAGGTTAGGTAGACCAGGATACTTTGGTTTCTCTCTGACCCAGATCAACCTTCCACACCCCCAGGGAAGGGAATAAACAGATTATAGAGAGCAGTCTTAACTCCTTCCTCCCACAAACACTGCTTTTTAAATTAAAAGAGAAAGAGGGCTGACTCTGTTGCCTAATGGTTAAGGGAACCAGATCCCACATGACTGACCATGATTCAAATCCTAGCCCTCGAAAAACACATGGAGTGTGTGAGCCCCAAATCCTAATAGGATGGAGAAATGGAAGTGAAGGGATAGCAGTGTGACTATGCCCCATTGGGGAGGATGCTTTCTCCCTGTCTCTTGTCTCTCTGGAGAGTACATGCACCCTCTGGCAATCAAAATAAATTTTTAAAAAAAGAAGAGGTAGGTGTGTGAGAGAGAAAGAGAAATATGGAGACCATTACTTCCGGTATAAGAAAGAAAATCAGCTCTACCTCTTACCCTGAGCAATCTTCAAACTTTGTCAGGTAAGAGCACAGCAGAAGGAAACTCTAAGAGCTTCTTTTGAGGGAGATCATAGGTATAACCGCATGCTTCAGCCCTGCACGCACATCCTTAGTCCAGCACTGTTAGGCTCTGCTCCTTGCAGGTACATTGTAGGGAAGGGTTGTGAAGGATAGGAAGTGGATCTGGTGTGGCAAAGGGAAGATATGCAACACAGTGGATTTCTCTAGCAAGTTCAGGGCTCATCAGTTGGAATTTAGGGCAAAGAACACAGAAAAATTTCATTGGATTCTCCTTCTGTAGTAAGTCAAACTAACAGAGATGGGATTGGGTGTCAGACAAGGTGAACTCAAACCAAAGCTCTTATCCAGCATCAAGCTTGCCTAATAATGTCAAAGATCCAGGCAGCCGAGGGGGTCAGACAAAGCAGACAGAGGCCGGGAACGTTGAGGCCAGCTATGCTGGTCCTGTCTTTCCACATCGAATAAGGCCCAGAGTAGTAGTTGAGGGTTTCAAGGGAGGACCATGGGCTTCCTCATACAGCAGTAAAATTTAAATTATGAAAGATTTCTTTTTTATATCCAGGGGATGGCAAAGTCTACCTGCCATTTTCCAGGGAGACCTGCCTCTTGGATCTTGGTTTCATTTATTAGAAAGTCTACCTTAACCAGGGATCAACATGCCAGGGACATTCAGTGGGCAAGTATCTTCCTCCCAACAAGCATAAGTCTATTTTACCCAGATGATCAGTTAAGAAGCAGGTTAGGTAGACCAGGATACTTTGGTTTCTCTCTGACCCAGATCAACCTTCCACACCCCCAGGGAAGGGAATAAACAGATTATAGAGAGCAGTCTTAACTCCTTCCTCCCACAAACACTGCTTTTTAAATTAAAAGAGAAAGAGGGCTGACTCTGTTGCCTAATGGTTAAGGGAACCAGATCCCACATGACTGACCATGATTCAAATCCTAGCCCTCGAAAAACACATGGAGTGTGTGAGCCCCAAATCCTAATAGGATGGAGAAATGGAAGTGAAGGGATAGCAGTGTGACTATGCCCCATTGGGGAGGATGCTTTCTCCCTGTCTCTTGTCTCTCTGGAGAGTACATGCACCCTCTGGCAATCAAAATAAATTTTTAAAAAAAGAAGAGGTAGGTGTGTGAGAGAGAAAGAGAAATATGGAGACCATTACTTCCGGTATAAGAAAGAAAATCAGCTCTACCTCTTACCCTGAGCAATCTTCAAACTTTGTCAGGTAAGAGCACAGCAGAAGGAAACTCTAAGAGCTTCTTTTGAGGGAGATCATAGGTATAACCGCATGCTTCAGCCCTGCACGCACATCCTTAGTCCAGCACTGTTAGGCTCTGCTCCTTGCAGGCACCATCAAGCACTTCTGTCAGAATCTCAGGGCTCTGTACCTCTGCCATGTACGAAGCCTGGAGCCTTTAGACTTCCACTTCCCCAGTTTGAAGATGATGTAGTGGACTCTCTAAAATACCGAGCTGAGCCACATAGTAGCACAGTAGTATCACAACTGGACCTACATGGGCAAGGTACTGGGTTTGTGTCCCTGGACCTCTGTGAACACGCCAGATGTGTGTGTATCCATGATCTGGGCCAGCAGAGGCGGGAGTGGGTTCTGGCATAAGGAGCCTACTGAGGGTGCCTCGTGTCTCTCTATTTCTCTGATGGGAAAAAAAATGAATGAATACATTTGAAAATATAAAACACAGGGTCATAAGACCAGCAGGGAAGTAGGGGAGGATCACAGCTAGGACTGGGGTTAAACTCATCAATTTCTAAAATTATAAACAAAATTTGTCTAAGTGCACATTTTTTTTTTAGGATAGAGTCCAAAACACATATCAGATTCTCAAAAGGATCAAGATCCTACAAAAGTTTATACAAGCCAGATTTCCAGGATGCTATGAAACATTCTGAATACAAAATACTTACTTCAAAACTAAATTAAATGTGAAGAGTAGAACTTACCCTTTGGTTTTGTTCGATAAAGCAGCAAGGCCATATTGCAGATTTTTGCATTTCTCTCTCAGTTGCAATGACTTCTCATTCAGATACGTGCTGTTTCGTGAAAGAGATTAAAAAAAGATTGATTTAAAATGAGAGCTTCTAAGATATTGTTAACAAATTCAGATTTAATTGATAAAATGTGTCCAGATAAAGTCTGACTTTCATTCCAGTACTGGATTTTCTACATGGAAAAGGAAATTGATTTTTTTTTTTTTTTACCTCTGATGGATCTAAATTAAAAAAAAAAAAAGTTCACACTATAAAGTCAAACACAAAAGACTGTATATTGAAGAGTTTATATTTCAGGTTTTCATATTTTGCAGTATTTGGAACAAACAAGTTTTTGTTTGTCAGAGGGCACATGTGCTTGCCAGACAGACATAAAAAGCGAGAGAACGCCTCCCCAATGGGGCACAATCATGCCATGACCTTTTTCCCTCCATTTCTCCATCCCCTCAGATTTGGAGCACATAAGCACATGCACCTGGTATGTTTTCCAAGCTGTAGAGACCAGGACTTGAACCAGCATCAGCCATGTAGGATCCAGCTTTCCATGCCCAGTATTTAACCACTAGTCCACAGGGCCAGCCCAAATAAGTTATTTAACAGTTTTGATCACTATATATGTAAGTAGCCTTAATTTTTAAAAATTGCTGTTCTGATAGGAAGCATGCAGACACAGGAAATCAATACTTCTCTGCCCTTTGGTCGTTTTACAGCTGTGTTATAAAAGCCGGGTGCTATTGGATTGTTGGAAAAGTCATGATGTATTTTTGATTAAAAAAAAAAAAAGTTCACACTATAAAGTCAAACACAAAAGACTGTATATTGAAGAGTTTATATTTCAGGTTTTCATATTTTGCAGTATTTGGAACAAACAAGTTTTTGTTTGTCAGAGGGCACATGTGCTTGCCAGACAGACATAAAAAGCGAGAGAACGCCTCCCCAATGGGGCACAATCATGCCATGACCTTTTTCCCTCCATTTCTCCATCCCCTCAGATTTGGAGCACATAAGCACATGCACCTGGTATGTTTTCCAAGCTGTAGAGACCAGGACTTGAACCAGCATCAGCCATGTAGGATCCAGCTTTCCATGCCCAGTATTTAACCACTAGTCCACAGGGCCAGCCCAAATAAGTTATTTAACAGTTTTGATCACTATATATGTAAGTAGCCTTAATTTTTAAAAATTGCTGTTCTGATAGGAAGCATGCAGACACAGGAAATCAATACTTCTCTGCCCTTTGGTCGTTTTACAGCTGTGTTATAAAAGCCGGGTGCTATTGGATTGTTGGAAAAGTCATGATGTATTTTTGCATAGAAAAAAATATGCCATGACTTTTCTGAGAACCCAATATTCCTTTATGACCTTGGAACACTGGAGGCAGAACCAAACCGAATCAGAAAGCAGGTTAAGGACTTGGATTATGAAGTCAGGCTGCCTAAGGAGTTTCGTGGACCTCATCGTGTTGTTTAACTGCTCCAGGCATGGGTTTCTGCATCTCTGGAGCTAGGATAATAGTCCTTACCTCACGGTGTTACTGTCATGCTATACACATGAAACAGAAAACAACTGGGCACCATGCCTCACAGCTACAAAGTACTCAAAAAGTATTGACTATTACTTTCCTTCCATTTTTAAGATCTATCTAAAACTCGAACTTATAATAGTTAATGCACATATTTAATCATCCTTAATGTATTTTCTGAGAATCTCATATGGGCTGGGAATCAGGCTTAGGATAAAGAGGTAGAGCTTGCAATCTGGTTAGGGCAGAAAGATATTTATGAAACAACCACACAAATAAATACAGAATTACGGCCTGTAGTTAATACGGCTGAAACAGAGTGGGCAGAGTGGAAGAGAGTAACAGAAAGACCTATTCACAACAAGGGGTCGGAGGAGGCCCCTGAGGGAGTGTCCTTCAGGTGGAGATTCCCGAGGATGATTCCATTGACCTGGTGAACTTGGGAAGCCAGTGGCAGGAGGAGGGGAAGAGAGTGCTGGAGGCAGAAGGAAAAGCACATGCAAAGACCCCAGAGTGAGGAGCGGCCTGAAATGTTTGAGGAACTGAAAGGACGGACAATAGTAGGGCTGAAGGCTGAAGAGCCATGGAATGTTTGATTCTGTACCACGTTACTAGAAAACCATGTTACTGAGTTTAGAATTTATCCTAACAAAGAGAAACAATAGAAGATTTTTGGACAGGGTAGTGATGTGACCTGTTGTATGCTCTGAGAGGTTCACTATGACCACTCTGTAGAGAAGGGGATGAGGCACAAGGGGGGAAAGAAGTTAAGGAGTTTGTATAGGACTCCAGGAGGGAGATGACAGCAACATGCTTACCTGTTTTACCAGCCAGTGTAGAACTAGGGTGTGATAACAAACATCAAGCACCAAGATCTCCGCTGCTGTGTAAAATAAAGCTTTGTTTCTTGCCCATAAAACACCCCTAGAATGTCTGGGTAGCCTTCTACACAGTTGTGTCCCATGAGGCTTAGGAGTTGTGATGGCTAATTTTTTTTTGGAGAGGTTTTTGTTTTTGTTTTTGTTTTTTGCTATACAGCACGTGTGCTTGCCAGACAGAGACAGACAGAGAGACAGAAAGTGAGAAATCACCCCCCAGGGGAATGGCCGCACCGCAATCCCTTCTCCTCCATTCCCTTCTCGGGATCTTGGGCATGCATGCACACGTGCCCAGCGTGAGTTTTAAGCCACCGGGTCCGGGACACGAACCACAGTCGACAACATGGGAGTCCATCAACATATCCATTATGCTAACTGCTGGTCCCATGATGGCTAATTTTATGTATCAACTTGACTGGCTTAGGAATGCCCACACAGCTGGTAAAGTGTTCTTTCTGGGTGTCCCTGTGAGGGAATTTCCAGAAGAGGTTAGCATTTGAATTAGTAAGCTGAGTAAAGAAGATACACCCTCACCGATGAGTTGGGCATTATCCAATCTGCCAAGAACAGAAAAGGTGAAGTGAGGTAAGTATTCTCTCTTTTGGAGTTGGAACATCCATCTTCTCTTACCCTCAGACATCAGAGCTCCTGGTTCTTTGCATTTCTGACTGGAAATGGGACTTATATCAAGAGCCCTCCAGTTCTCGGGCCTTCAGAATCGGGCTAGGCTTTCTACTAATGACTTTGGGCTTGAACTAATTACATTACCAGGATTTTTGGTCCCCTGACTTCAAGACAACAGATCATGGGTCATCTCAACTGCCACAATTACTTGAGTTAACCTCTCATCATAAAGCTCTTCTAAATTTTTTTTCTTTTTAAAATTTTTGCTATAGGGTGTATATGCTAACCAAAGTCAGACAGAGATAGAGGGAAAGTGAGAAAACACCACTCGGGCTGCATGGCCATGCTGCAATCCCTTCTTTGGATTTTGGGCATGCACACACATATATCTGGCTATGCATCTCGTGTTTTTTAAGCCACTGGGTCCAGGACTCAAACCACAGTCAAGCATGTGGAATCCAGCCACCTTAACCTCCACACCATCTGCTGCTCCCTCTATTACCCTATTGGTTCCGTTTCTCTGGAGAACCCTAACACAGGGACCCAAGTTGCTTCAGTCTGGTCGCACAGTCATTTCAACAGCCTGCTTCTATAATTGCTATGCAGAAGAAAGTGCTGGAATGTCTTATTCCATATCTGTTATAGACCAGAAGTGAAATGTGTCCTAGGCCGAAACAGTCATAGACCCCACCTGATTGCAAGGTGGGAGCCAGAAATGTGTGCCAAGAGAGATGATTTGGAGATCACACCACCACTGTGTCCACCCACAGGAAGAGAGGCAGACAGAGGTGAGCTCTATTCTTGAAGGAAGATTGACAGGACTTCATAATAAATTGGATGTTGAAGGTGAGAGAGGAGAAGGGAAAAGGTAAAGATACAAACAAGAAAACTCATAATTAATTCTCCGATATTTCTCAGAAATGCTTCCCAAAAACGCTGTGTGAAGAGAACATATGGGCTCGCAAAATCCCTCTTAATCCTGATATTATTTTTCTCCCACACCACTTCCTCCTCCCTCTCTCATTCTGTCTACATGCCTCCCCTTCTGTGCCTTCTGAATGTATTATCGTGCTTTCCAAGGATTTGTTTATTTCTAATTTGCTGTGCATTTTATTCAGGCAGTACCATTAATAAGTTACCAGGCTAGCAGCGCTTTGAATAGGATGGCTTTGCAATATTGAATTGAATTGTGAAACTGTGACAAGCAGACACCATCAGGATAGTGTCTCATATACTTCTCCTTAATAGAGAATATCTTTCTTAATAAAAACTCACAATAGTTTTGCCTAGCTGGAATCACAGAAGATACACGGAAAGCAAATGAGAGTATCTAGAGGGAAAGTGGAGGTGACAGAATGAAGTCCTGGGGGCAAATAGGATCTTTGGGGTCAGTGGAGTTACAATCTAGGTTAGGCTCTCTAACCTTAGAGTTTCTTCTTCTTCTTCTTCTTTTTTTTTTTTAATAAAGTAGTTATAAGGATTCAGTGAGATGTGTATAAAAAACATCGGCCCCGCAGAAGTCACAAAATAAATGTTGAGGTCTTATCTTCCTGAACTTACGCCACAAGGAACCATATCACACCTGATTTTGTACAGAATACAAAACACTGTATCTCTGGGGACAAAACAGTAACATCAAGCACCAAGATCTCCGCTGCTGTGTAAAATAAAGCTTTGTTTCTTGCCCATAAAACACCCCTAGAATGTCTGGGTAGCCTTCTACACAGTTGTGTCCCATGAGGCTTAGGTGATGTGATGGCTAATTTTTTTTTGGAGAGGTTTTTGTTTTTGTTTTTGTTTTTTGCTATACAGCACGTGTGCTTGCCAGACAGAGACAGACAGAGAGACAGAAAGTGAGAAATCACCCCCCAGGGGAATGGCCGCACCGCAATCCCTTCTCCTCCATTCCCTTCTCGGGATCTTGGGCATGCATGCACACGTGCCCAGCGTGAGTTTTAAGCCACCGGGTCCGGGACACGAACCACAGTCGACAACATGGGAGTCCATCAACATATCCA